CACCTACTGCATAGCCTCGGCTCCAAGTGTCTTTAACTGCAGGAGTCTTTTTAAACAGGCTTAACTGCAGCAGCTAACAAAACTGCTCAGCTTTATCAGCCACCCATCTCTTCAGGTAACCATCAGCATTTATAAGAGACAAAGGTTCTCTTATCAGCAATGAGACTGTCAGCAGGGACCCAGTTATTTTCAGACATTGGAGATGACAATGAGATCATCTCAGGATGATCAGCATCAGCTCACTGCACTGAAGGAAAATGCACGACAACTACTCACATTTTTATAGCGCATTTCATCCCTCAGGATCCCAAAGAACTTTACAAATTTAACCGAGTATAGACTATGTACTGGGATCACTTTGTTCACCACTAAAATTGAGCCATCTCGGGTAAAATTAAATCAATTTTAAAAGCCAGAAGGAACTATTAGATCATCCATTCTGACTTTCTGCATAACACCAGCCATAGAATTTCATCCAATCACCTCTGCACAGAGCCCAAGAACTTGTGTTTTAGCTAAAGCATCTCTTCCAGAGAGGTGTCCAGTCTTAATTTGATTACATCAAAAGTGGAAGAATACAGCACTTTCCTTGGTAGTTGTTCCAATGGCTAAACACCATTCCTGTTAACTATTTGTGCCTTATTTCTAATTTGAATTTCTTTGGCTTTGACTTCCAGTTTCGCCTTTCTCAACTAGATGAAAGAGCTCATTAGTACCTACTATTTTCTCCCTATAAAGATACTTATACATTGTAATCAAGTCATCGCTCAATATTGTTTTTGATAAACTAAAAAGATTGAGCTATTTAAATCCCTCACTGCATGGGATTTTCTCCTGCCCTCAAATCATTTTTGGAGCTTTCTTTCACTCTCTCTTTTCAACATCCTTTTAAAAAGAGTATGCAGTATTCCAGTATCAGTCTCACTAATGCCCTGTACAAAGGTAAGATCACCGCTCTACTCCTGTTTATACATCCAGGGATCGCATCAACCCTTTTGGCCACAGACTCACACTGGGAGCTGATGTTGAGTTGCTTGTCCACTATGACTCCTACATCCTTTGCAGAATCACTGCTTTCCAGGATCCAGTCTTCCACTATGTAGTTATGGCCTGCATTCCTTGTTCCTAAATGTATCAACTTGCATTTGGCTGTATTAAGACACATTTTCTTTGAATGGGCCCAGCTTACCAAGTGATCCAAGTCATCAACATTTACCATTCTGCCAATCTTTGTGTCATCCAAAAATTTTATCAGCAGCAATTTTATATGTATTTCCAAAATAACTTATTGAAAAATATTGGAAGTGTCAAACTTAGTCCTAGAACATCACTATGGAACATCACTAGAAACAGACTCATTTGATGGGAATTCCTCATTGACAATTATTTTTTGAGATCTGTCAGTTAGCCAGTTCCTGATCCCTTTTAAAAAAAATAGCACAAGACAACGCCAAAGTACATGCTAACCAGAATGTTGTGTGGCATTAAATCAAATGCCTTACAAAAGTCTAAGTAAAACAGCAGGGAAAGTCACTCTTCACAACTGGGTGACAAAGCACCAGAAAAGGCCAAATGTCCATATGGAATTGCCCTGAAGCCTTAAATGTTCAAGGAGTGGCGCTGCCTGAAACTTCCTCTTTCTGTGATGGAATGGGGAAGAATGACAGAAAGCCAGCTTGATACTAAGCAAAATATCTGTTATGAGGAAAAACTGATATTTCCCAGGGGTTTTACTACAGAAATAAATAAAATAGTAGTTTTCTTCTTAGGAATGGTCCAATTTAATCCATTTTAGATGTTCTACTTTGCTGCCTCCAGATAGTACATCTCTGAATGGAGGTAACAGGCAACGGGGCAAAAGGAGAGAGAAGTGATCATTTAGATCACCTATTAAAGATTTAAAAAAAAAAAATCCCCCTGCAGTTAGTTTAGTTCAAATCCCCTTATTCCCCTTTAGGATGTTAGATTGTGATACAGCCCTGCCATGGTTCTGCAAGCCAGGATACTTTAAACTATGGTTAATTGGAAAAACTCTACTGTCCAGTATCAAAGGGGTAGCTGTGTTAGTCTGGATCTGTAAAAGCAGCAAAGAGTCCTGTGGCACCTTACAGAGTAACAGACATATTGGAGAATGAGCTTTCGTGGGTGAATACCCACTTCTTTGGATGCATCCGAAGAAGTGGGTATTCACCCACAAAAGCTCATGCTCCAATACGTCTGTTAGTCTATAAGGTGCCACAGGACTCTACTGTCAAGGCAGTTAGCAGCAGTATTCTTACCTACTCACAGGATCAGAAAACCAAACCCACATCAATGAAATGAGAATAAAGAGACAAACTGGGATCAGAGATTGGCAGTGGGGGAAGGGATTGGACCCAACTGTGCATCCACACAGTCTCCCCACCCTCCCTTCACTGATTGCTTTTCCACAGCTAACAGGAGATGGTTACCTGAATCAGTGCAATCAGAGGTGAAATGACAATGGTGATGCCCACTGCCAGAACTGCAGGAAGTTGGTAGCACAGGGATTTCCCTGCCCCTGTGGGCATGCATACAAAGACATCGTTCTTGCCTGCAAAGACAACAAAACAAAGCTCAAGGCTACTAAACCGTGGCAATTCACCTAGATTCTGCTCTGGAGGACTGGGCACAAAGTCTTTTAGATCTAGACAAATTGCATTAGAAGTGTGTCTCTGCAAGTACAATGCCACATGGCAACATGAGAGAGGTTTCTTTTAATTTTTAAAAGAATAATAATAAAATAATAGCAATATTTTGCACTTCTCCACCGGCTTCCTTCCAAGCAACTCTAACCACTTTATGAACATGAATTAAGCCTCATAACACCCTTGGGTGACAGGAATTATTCTACCCAGAGGTGTAAATCAAAGTACAGAGAAGTTAAATGACATACCAAACTTATATCAGCTCACTTCCAGAGAAGCTTGCTTTTAACTCATCTGGCAGGTTCTACATCCAGCTACCAAACTAAATGGACCTTTACCGCAGCCTGTTAAACTTTACCACAAATTCTCCCAGTACTGGACTGGAGCTGAGAATCTTTCCGTTATAGATAGAATATTCTTTATCAAATAAACTATCACTGTATTAAACAGCATCCACTGACAGAGAAGGATGCCAACCAATACCATGCTATTTAATAGGCAGAACCATACCGGTGATCTAATGCCACCATGGCTGCTGACAACAGCTGTGTGCATGTGCTGGTTTCTAGTGGAAACAAGAGAAGGATCCTGGGATTTTGACTCAATGTCAAAACAGGTGTGACACTGGTTCTCTGAACACCATCTCACGCAGCAAGACTTAAAATTGAAGAGACAAGGTTAGAGTCCCAAGAAAGACAGTCATACCTTACCTTTCACCACTGTCATGGTTGCGCTCTCTTGCAGAGAGGTTTTAAAGGAGTCAAACCCAAAGATCTTTTTCAGAGTTTTCTGGACCTTGCCATCTAGGCCTGAGGGAGTGTAGTCGTTCATCGTATAGGTACAGTACTGGAAATGGGTCAAGGTAAATGAGAAGGAAAGGAGCTTACTTAGCTCAACTGTTGTTCACACCAGCAACCAATCACAAATTCTTCTTGGTCACAGAGAGAATTTTTCCCATTAGATTATTGGCTGCCAAAGCATCAGTTTAAACTGCTCCAGGAATATTTTTCTGGGAGTATATATGCTTCCAAAGTCTCTCTTTGACAGAGACAGAATCACTTGTAAATCAGCTTCCCTCCCCGATCCTAAAAATAAGGAAAATCTAATCTCATTTACACTTGTGGCAAATCCCTTCTTACAGACAGCTCTAGCTAGTGTTTCTAATATAGAGCCACATGTCGGAAACAACTGAGCAAGAAGAGAATCCACTTATGCAGTACTCTCTTTAGACTGAGCAGAGCATCTGATTCACACGCAACCTGCCACCCCACTGGGAAGCTTACTGTGGGAGAATGGCCTGATTAAACAGGAAAGGCTAAGGAAACATCTGTGTCCTTTCTGCCTGCTCTCAATTCTCATCCCATGGCCTCTAACCCCTCACACCAGCTCTTTTCATACTGGTACCTTCTTCACCTGCTCTCCTCCCCTCTCTGCCAACCTTACTGCTTTCCAGGCCTGATCTCACTCACAGCCCTGTCATTTGGTTTGCTCCACCTGCACTTGCTTCCCAGTTGTCCCCACAACCTTCTTCTCCCTTACACCCACTACTTCCTTCCTTCCCCTCTCGCACACCCACGTCCTGTCTATGCCCAGATCCTCTTGCCTTCAGTCTGCATCCTCCACCCACACTCCTGCCTCTTACCACCTTCTCCTTCCCCCAGAAAGCTCCCCCCCCCCAATTATCACTGAGGGAGCAAAGCTGAAACTGCCAAGAGAGGAAAGGGGTGAAGGAAATGGGCAGGTTCAAGGTCCCCTTTAACCCAGACCAGGCCCAGGCGCCAGAGCTGGTTTTAGGGCAGTAACTCTGCTTGGCAAAGGAACCACCTGAATCAAACCCCCCCAGGGAGAGATTCGGGCCCAAGAGACTAGCCCCTGCCTGCACCCTCACTCCAGGGACTACTTTATCCCCAGGTGTTACCCCCATGCCCCTTTATTCCTCCACTTCCCCCTGCCTATATCCTTCCGCCCAGGCTGCCCCCCACCTCATTACTCGCACTTATTCAGCTTCCGTATCGGCTGCTGTTGCTGTACTGTTGCTCCCGCCTGGGCGCGGGTTGATGACGTCAGAGCTAATCCCCTTTAAACAGCCCAGTAGGTGCCATTGATTTTAGAGTTCCGTCCTCGTGCGCGCACATTCCCCTCCCCAGCCTCTCTTCTAACAGGGCCACGTGTCTCTGGACACCACACTAACCCTCGAAGCGCTTCAAGCTTGAGTTCACTGGGCTCAGCACAAACCGGAAGGGGTGGGTCTTGTTGCTATAGCGCTCGCCTCTTTCTAATCCTAGCGTGTTGCCTGCGTCATCCTCGGTCGCCGGAAGTGTGTAGTAGGCGGGCTGAGGAAAATGGCGGCGGTGAAGAAGAGCGTCCTGTCGTCGTTGGCGGTTTACGCGGAGGATTCCGAGCCCGAATCCGACAGCGAGGCCGGCGCGGCGGGGAGCGATGGCGGGACGGCAGCGGGTGAGTTCCGGGGGAGCTGCCGCTGCTGCTCCTGCTCCTCCTCCTTTCCGCAGCGCCCCTGCTCAGACCGGGCTCCTTCACCGGCCGGAGAGCGCCCGTCCCCGACGGGGGTTGCATCCTCCTCGCTCCCGGGGAGCAACCAACCTCCCCCCCCGCCCCGAGAAGCGTTGCCCACTCCTCTCCGCCGCCCCTCACCCACGGGCGGGAGGCGAGTGGCGGCGGAGAAATGCCCCTGCGAGAGGCGGGCGCCCCCCTCCACCAGAGCGCCCCGGGGAAGGGATGAAACGCTCCCCGCTCATAATCTGTAGGGGGAGCCTCTCCCCGGTTTAGGGGAAATCTGCTCTTTTTCCTCCCTTCGTTGTAGCAGGAGTGAGACTGTTCCTTCGGGTCCCAGTGGAACCGTATCACTTTATCCCCGGTATGCTAAGTCTCTTGCGATAGCTGCGAGAAGGAAAAAATTACTTCTACTCCCTCGTCACCAGTAACCAGAGAAAGGGAGCAACCTCCCGTCCCCAGTGGCTTACAGAGGAGTCAGCTCCTTTTTCCATCTTCAGAATACAATCAGCATTACAAGTGAAAAAGTTCTCCTCCCTGAGTCTAGTGGGAAGTTAATATATTGGGAATTACAGACCAGTCAGTGTAATTTTGGTACCCGGAAAGATAATGGTGCAAATAACCCCATAATCGGTTTGTAAGGACCTAGAAGGTAATAAGAAACAGGCAATATGGATTTGTCAAAAACAAATCAGGTCAAACCAACCTAATATCCTTTCCTGACAGGCTAATAAGCCTTGTGGATGGGGGGAGCTGTAGATGTACTATATCTCAACTTTAGTATGCCTTTTGATGCTGCCTCCCATGACCTTCTTGTAAGCAAAATAAGGAAATATAGTTTAGCCAAACCTACTATAAGATGTGCGTGCAAGTGGTTGGAAAACCATACTCAGAAAATAGTCATCAGTCCAATTGGAAAGACATACTGAGTTGGGTCCCACAAGGATCTGTCCTATGTCCACTTCTATTCAAGATATTCATAAATGATTTGGATAATGCATGGAGAGTACACTTGTAAAGTTGGAAGACAATATCAAGCTGAGAAGTGTTGTAAGCATTTTGGAGGACAAGATTAGAATTCAAAATGATCTTGACAGTTTGGAGTGACAAAATAGGATGAAATTCAATAAGCACAAATGCAAAGTGCTGCACTTAGGAAGGAATAATCAATTGCACAAATACAAACGGGAAATGAATGCATAGGAAGGAATACTGCAGAAAAGGATCTTGGGATTATAGTGGATCACAAATTTAATATGAGAACAGTTCAGTCCTGTTGCAGAACTCACATTTTGTGCTTGCTATTGTTAGTGTCCATCTAAATCAAGGTGGAGTCATCTTAATCTTTTTTTTGTAATTGTACTTTTTAAGCTGTTTTCCTAAAGAACAGTCGATGTTCATTGGTAACCATTCAAATGTTATTTTAGTTGCAAATTATAGTCGTTATGCTAAATTTTGCTAATCAGGAGGGTGTACTATTGCTCTACACATTTAACCAGTTATGTAGCTTAACATACATTTATTCAGCTTCTTTATTTTTTACATTTTTTTACTATATTAAATACATTAGTCACCATTTTCTGTTTTACTAGATGATCACTTGCCGTCATTCTGTATCAAGCTGTACTTAGAAACTGGAATTCAATTAAAAGTACAAAGCCAGCATTTTAAAATTGTTTTTATTAAGAAATAAAGCTATCATAAGTGTGGATACAGAAAGGAAAAAAATTATCAAAATACGTTTTACAAAACTAACTTATTAAACAAATGATCTAATTAGTGAATTGACCTGATTATTTTTGGTCACCATATCCTTTGGAATTTTAGAACTAGTAGATCTCATCTCTTCCTATCTAGTTGTTTATTAATAAATTGGGAGAGAAAAACAAGCTTGTCTGCTTTTTCAGTTCCTAATCGGTTTCTTTAACTTTGAATGAACTAGTTATTGAACTGAACTAGTTGAATAAACTGAAATGAAGAAAATATTCTCTCTGTACCTGGAAAAGAGGGAACTGCTGTCAAAAACTGGTTTAGCACTTTAACAAACTCTGGTTCCAAGAGTTTAGTCAGTGACTTCAACCAATTTGGTGGCTTGACTTTCTTTAAAACATCAAAATAAAAACAAATACTACTCAATAATATTATTATTATTATTACTATTAAATGTTTTGACTGTAGTGAGTTTAGGCTTTAACACAGGTTCTCGTAATTTCAAATTTTAAGTGTGTTTATGATGAGAAAAATGTATTTAATTTAAATTAAAAATTTCATTTAAAAAAAAATGTTTTTTATCCACCCTGATCTAAGTTAACTTTATGCCTTGATTATGCTTTTTCTTTTTTTCTTTTTTTTCCCCTATGCATGGACTAGAAGAAAAAGGAGGTCTGGTGTCAGAAGCATATGGCGAAGATGATTTCACCCGGTTGGAAGGAGATGAGGATGGGTATGAGGAAGAGGATGATGAAAACAGCAGACATTCAGTAAGTAGTTTGTCCTCTCATGCTAGCTGGTCTGACTCCCCGTTTAAATATTTCTATAGTGCCTTCTATGTAGGGACTTCAGAGTGCTTCCCTAACAAGCCTTTTACACACACCCACACACCGTGAACTAAGAATAGAATGCAGAAATCCTGACTCTTCATCCTCTCCTTCAGCCACCAAACCATGCTTACCAAATAACTTAATTTCCTTTGGTCTGTTTTAAAATCCAAGAACTCTATCTTTAAAAATATCAGCTCAACTCATCTGTGTTGCTTGTTGCTAACTTTTTAGTTGCCATTTTGACTCCACTTTATGGATAAGATAAGGTACCAGCTTTATGTATTGATAGTTGAAATATAAAATAAACCTTCATTTCTTGATATATAAAATTGGTTATGAAATCCTGTAGGGGGGAAATGGAGAAGAGAGGTGGAAAGCTCAACTGCACTTCTGAGAGGCATGGGGAAAGCCCTGTAAAAGGGCAGCTAGCTTTTGCATGATCAGGCTGGAGGATTAGCAGGAATGAAATTGTGTAGCATCATGTTGGGTTTTTTGTGCATAATCCCACTACATCAGTATCTTGGTGTAGCAGTGATTTCTTGTCTAGATCTGTATGGCTTTTGTTTGTCATGAAAGCATGGCATGTTATAACAGCATTTAAATACCAAAGTAATGTGTATCGCAAAGCATCCCTAAGACATATACATGAGAACTTCACAGGGCACCAATTAGCCAAATGTAGTTATGAGATACAAAAGGGTGGTCAGTCTCACCATGGGGCAATGGCCTAATGAAAAGCCCAACTGCTATGAATGGGGAAGTTGGGAATCTGTTTTAGGGTTCCATCACTAGATCCAGCTAAGAGGATCCATCTTCTGGTAGTAGGTGGTTGAGAAACATGAAGCTCCTTCCCTCCTCTAGCTGCAGAAAGGAAGAGAAGGAGCTTTTCTCTCCTTGCCCTCCACAGACTACTGGCTGGTACAAGATTGTATCTCTGCTGCTTTGCCCCTTCTCCAGCCTTTTAGCTGCTGTGAGGAGTGCGGGAGGGAAGTGGTCGCTGTGACTGTAATCCTCCACAAATTCCATTTTTTGTGACCCTCCTTGTGATTAACTTCAGTGTCTCAGCTACTGCTCTTAGCTGTCCCAAACTGCAGCTGGAATTTAAGTTCTACTTTCACTGGCTCTAAATAGCAGAAGTGACGCAGACTGTTCTTGTTAAATTCATTCTTCTGCAGCTTAGAAAAGCTATGACAGCAGAGACCCTGGAGTGATTTTTGGGTGTTCAGAAAGAGTGTAAACTAATGCAGTTTCATAGTGTTAATGTTGGCAACCGTAAGAGCTAAAAGCATCTTTTTATTTAAAAAAAAAAAAAAAAAAAAAAAAAAGAGAGCTTAAATTTTGCAGAAACCGGTGGGTTAGGCTGAAATGCTTGCCAAGAAAACTTTCTTGTTCAGCACTGAGAAGTGGATTTTTCAAGATCTGCATGCACAATTTCTTGGAATGTATAATGTAGCTAGCCACCATCTCCGAGGGGGCAAGATGTGGAGAGCATCTAACTTTCTTCAAATCTCTGTACTAATTATTCATACACTTCCAGCTGTGTACGTGACATAACCCTGGATGGTCTACGACCCAGTTACCTAGACTGACTCTCCTCTTATGTACTGTTGCAATAGTAGGACATCAATTTCTAGGACTAATACTTCGAGGATCAGCATTAGAGCCTTCTTTGTGGAAGGCTTTTGACTTTGGAATTTGCTACTTCTCCTGGTTCATCTGAGTCCAGGTTTGGTGGCCTTCAGAGAGCCAGGCAAGTTGCACTTAATTGACTAAGCTTTTATCTGTTTTTCCATATGTTTACATTGGCCATAGTATTGGCTGGTAAGCTACTTTCCTGAATAGTTGTGTGTAACTTGTATGTTTGGTTTTGTAAATAATACCTATATGTTAAGGCAGTAGATTTCTAAAAACCCTTTGCATTGTCTAAGACTTAATATTCGTGAAAGTATTGCACCCCATGTTCTCTTTGATTTTAATAGCCATTTTAAACAAAAGGTCACCTCATTGGTAAAAGCATCACAACTCTGATAAAAACATGGAATTATTCTCTACTGTGATTTTGAATTTTCTGGCAATTTGACATGCTAATTAAGACTGAGATGGCACTTTCATTAGCAACTTCTCTTTCAGTTTTTAACTTTCTAATTTTTTTTTCTTTTGAAGCTGAAACATCAAGTGTTTGGGTTCAGGCCAGAGTTGAAACTGAATGGAGAAGTTTGGGGGAAATCCAGGCAGCGGTCTTTAAGTTATAGGAGGACAAAATATATTCTATTTCTTCAAAAGTGACTTGTTTTGACTTGAGTTATGTATTTGCCTCTAAAGATACATAGCTCTGTATGACCCAAGTTAAGTAGCTAATGGAGCAGTGTAGTCCCAGCTGATAATCAAATCTATTGGTAAAGCCAAAGGTCACCTTTAACAGGGGTTACCATGCCGATGCACTTCAAAACTTGATCTCTTAAAACTCTTTACTTGGTGGCATTTTGTGCAACATCTGGCTCTTATTTCTGGATGGAAATGGTAGGATTAAATCCTTCCAAACACCGGCTGTTTCCTCCTCTGTGTTTGGAAGTTGGGTGAAAGCAATTTAGGGCACTAAACTAGAATGACAAAGATGCGGTGTCTGCTGGTATCACTGTCGCTTTGAAGCTTGTGAGTCTGGCTTAGCACCACCAAGCCTGCATGCTGAGTGGGACGGCAGGCAAGGCGTGTCCTGTGTATGTTGCTGCTGTATGCTTGGCGTGCAGTAGGTCTTGCAAATGCTGCTTTTTCTGTGAGGATTATAGAGCAAGCAAAAACTAACAGCTGGAATTATCAGATGAGACAAGCTTGCTGCCTTTTATTGTCCGGTTTTGAATATTCAGGAGCTGTATGAATTCTGCAGGGGATATTTGCTACTTGGAGTTGTTCTTTTACTAAACAACACTTTTTCATGGTTTATCTGATTCATCTCTTGGTCGTGCAAAGGGGTGGGATGGAGCTCATGATGACTTGTTGGTTGAAAGGGTCTTGGACTGTCACTGGGCTGTTGAATGCAAGCCCCTTGCTATATATACAGGAACTTGCCAAGCCCACCCTTTAAGCTTAATCCTGTAAATTCTTGTCTTGTAGGAAGATGACGATTCAGAGACTGAAAAACCTGAGGCTGGTGACCTAAAGGTATTTGGAAGTGTGGTGGGATGTGGTTGGGTAGCTGTCTGCAACAGGAATAAGTCTTAACAGCATGGCTTGGTTCATGGTTTGTTTTCTGCTCTGGTTAGTCTTAGTGCTTAATTGTTTTTATTCTATTTTATTTGCACCTGTAACATGAATATTCAGGGATTTTAATTCTGGCTCCTGAAAAAGATCTAAAGAGGCAGCAGAGCTATCTAGCTGGGGCATTGATTGATTGGCATACAGAGGTCTGAAATCATGAGTGAGCCATGTTGTGAAATGGATCTGACATGGTGGGATACTGACAGGAGGCTTTATTGCACTGATCTGAAAGAGATCATCATGTAATACAAGGAGCCTATCCTGACTATTCAGAGCCATGTTCTGACACACATGTCTGAACACTTTCATCTGGAAGACAGATTTTACATGAGAAACAGCTTGATTCAATTTGGAGTGTATTCCTGGAGATTGTGAAATTTTACAAAATCATTTGAGAAATAATCCAAGCACTTTACACTAGTCTTAGTGTTCCTGTTGTAAGGATTCTTTGTGCAAAGCTATCTGACTGTGAAAGACCATCATTAATATCAAATTAGAGATTTCCAAATAATTGCTTTTATAAATTACCTTTCACACCCTTGTGCATTGTATAGCATATACCAGGGAATACTTTACACACCTTTGTGGTGCGAGGCAACAGCTGTTTAATAGCATGTAGTAAGACTAAACAGGGACAGGAAGTACATTTGGTGGGGATACTGTATCCGCTTGAAATAGCATAGGAAGCATCTGTATAGAGTGAAAACTAATGTGTTAGAATTTGGCTAGGAAATTAGGTTAAGAATTAATTTCCCTAACAATATGAAAAGTGCTGTTGGATATTGAAAGAGAACAGATTGTCAAGGCCTTAGTTTTACCAAGGACCTGTGTCCTCTCTGATAAGCTATATCTAAACCCTACAGCAAGGCCTTCTGATTTTCATCAGGAAATTGGAAATGCTATGGTAGCTTCAGGTACTCTTAAAATATAGAGGTCTTTATTGGATAGCATGAAAATTAACATGATTTCAGTATTTTTATCCAGTTTGAACATGTTTCACAATAGCCCCGCCTCATCAGTTTACATAATTCTTTGGATTAAGTCTGTCTATACTTTTAATATACCTAGAGGTTTTGGCAGCTGGATAGGAGTCTGTGGGTGTCTTGCACCTGGGAGTGCATGGGACATGGTAGAGGTTTTTGGCATACAGGAGGAGGCTGAGGCTTTTGATACTAGGAAAAAGGAGAAATACATTGCAGCTTTCTCTTCCGTCTTTATTCAAGGGGGAAAGTGATTGCAACTAGATAAGTTCATGGAGGATAAGTCCATCAATGGCTATTAGCCAGGATGGCAGGGACGGTGTCCCTAGTCTCTGTTTGCCAGAGGCTGGGAATGGGCGGCAGGGATGGATTACTTGGTGACTGCCTGTTCTGTTCATTCCCTCTGGGGCACCTGGCATTGGCTGCTATTGGAAGACAGGTTACTGGGCTAGATGGACCTTTGGTCTGACCCAGTACGGCCATTCTTATGTTAATTGGGTGAAGAGGCTGGGGAGCAGGCTTCAAATTTCTAGTTCCCCACCGCAGCAACCACTTTCCACTTCTAAATACTGGCCATTGCATCCGTCACCAATGGCTAAGCACATTAGCTGGATGTTTCTTCTAAAATTATCAGCAGACTCAAGAAAATACACATTGGTTTGCACTTGGTTCATGTTTTTACAACCATATGGGATAGCAACAATTTTTAAAACAAAAGTTTAGAATCTCCAGCAGAATCTAGTCCCTGCTGCAGAACACAGGGCGCTGGTGTGGCTACTTGTCCCGCACCTGTTGTGTGAATGAATGAGCTCAATCTCCAGAGCAGTTGATGTACAGCTTTTTCCAGCTGTAAATTCCACCAGAAAATACTAATTTTCTTCCCCATGTTACGTCATTCAGCTGCAAACAAAAACCTGTCCATGATAGCAGTGGTGCGATCTCTCTTGCTACATCTTATGTATTACTTTGCTAAAACTTAAACTATCACCTTGCTATCTATCAAAATATTCATTCATAAACAGTTTTCTCCTTTAACTTCCATGCTTCTAATGCCTAATATGCACTGCTGTCCCAATCATCAATAGGGCTGCAGTTGTGATGCCACGAACACTCTTAGTATTACTTCTATTACCGTACTGCCTAGGAGCCCAGCTCATGGATTAGCCTGTTGTGCTAGGCACTGTACAAACACTTAACTAAAAGATAGTTCCTGCCCCAAGGCACTTACAGTCTGGGTTCTTGAATTGCTAAGTAAAACAGGCAGGAGGTGGAGGAATAGAGCTTCTCTGTGCACACACATTTGTAATGAGCGGTAACAGGCAAGAAAATACAAACATGGAGATAAAGCCACAGCGGCTGAGTGACATGCCTAAGGTAATGCAGTAAGTTCTGATTCCCATTCCAGTGCCTGAACTAGGAACACCTTGCCTGCAGCCTCCCTGGTTCCCAGAAAATGCATTCTACTTTGTCACCTTCCTGCCACTGATCTAGTACTGTCCTGGAATTCAAATGGTTCTAGGAATAGAGCCACCATTCACCTCTGTGCTATTCCTCCATTTGAATTGGCAGTGGCTCTTTTTAAGGCCTGGTCTTTCACTTTAGCTTTCAACTGCTGTTCTATCAAAGCTGGAGCAGAGTGCCAGCTATACCTGTCCTGGGGAAGAATAATTATAACAGAAGGGATAATGGGGGAAATCCAGAGTTACATAGAGTAATGTTATTAGAGAGCCATACAGTAAATGAACAAAACATTGTTCAAACATAAAAGCAGGTCTTGCATCAAGGACTTTAATGGTCTAATTCAAATACAGTATTAAAGAGAGACGGTTATATTCAAAACTTGGAATAGAGCATCAAAGAGGAGATCAATATTGGGAATTGAGAAAATGCTTGATTTCAGACATGAGAAGAGGAGTCAGTCATGACAAGAGGCAGACTGTTGCTGTCATAGCCAGTAGCATGGAAGAAAATGTAAAGCTGAATGGGAGGCTGAGGCTTAGGGAGTATTTAGGCAAGTGGAGTATGTTGGACATGGAGACATGAGAGGAAGGAAGGTCTTGTGGTTAAGACAGAGAACTTGGGGAGCGGGGGCAGGGGAGAGGAGACCGGTATTATTTTCCTAACTCTTCCACAGGCTTAGTGTAATCTTAGGCAGGTTGTTTAATCTACCTCCACCTACCTCCAGGAGGTTTTGAAGTGTCTATGAAGTGTTTTCAGGTCTTTTGAGAGAAGATATATTTAATGCAAGTGTGTGTAACTTCTCTTCAGTCTGGAATAATACCTTGCTCTTGTACTGCACTTTTCATCAGTAGATCTCAAAGTGCCTCACAAAGGAGATGTCATTATTCCCGTTTTACAGATGAGGAAACTGGAGGCGCCTCAAAGCAATGTATGAAAGAAGATTTATGAAAATGCCCCAATAGGAAAGGAGACTAAAGAAAATGTAAATAGTGAACCCATTATGAGGACAGGCGGGCAAGTAGAGTTGCTGTCATCTCTCCCACTTCTGCTGCTTGTGCTGACAACGCAAGGATTAATTATTCTGACTTTCCAGAGAGTGGAAACATAATTTATGTATCAGGATTCTTCTTAAAATAACAGCTGAGCTGTTTGCCCCCGCTTTAGTTGAGGTTTTAGTTAAGTAGCTGAACAACATTCCACATCCCATTTAAACCAGGTCTTTGAAATTATGTTTCTAAAATATAAGATCTTAATTCTTAGGCTAGATCTTTCCACTTCAAGTGCAGGATATAATCATTCCCTCCTCAGTATAAAACATATCAGATGATAAACTGATGTTACACTAGATCAGTGATTCTCAACCTGTTTGTGGCCCACAATGTGTTACGTGGGCTGCAGGTTGAGAACTACAGCACCCCCACCCCTCTTACCACAGAGGAGGCCAGGAGGGGAGACCTGGGCTCGGGGCAGGCAGATGAACCCAGACCCCACGGGGCTGGGCACCAGGAACCCGGGACCCCGGCACCAGGCCAGGAGTGGAGTGCCAGTTGCGGGCCAGCAACGAAGACCCTAGGCGCAGAGCCCCACCTAAAACCTGGAACCCCGCAAACCCCTGGTTCCCAGCACCCCCTACCCCATCACAGCCCAGAGCCTGCCTGCCTTCCCCCCTCCCCCTCAGCCTGCCTGGAGACCCACTCTCTCACCCCCTGTCTCCCTGCTGCACTTGCCAACTGCACTCACCAGCACCCTGCTGGCAGGAGCCCTCCTGAAGGCAGCCAAATGTTGTCTCCCTCTCAGCCAGCCCCACTCCCATCAGACCACAGCTGCAAATTTTGAATTTTTTTTAGCACTCAGCTGGGCTGCAGCTGTGTGCTAATTGGGCCACAGGTTGAGAACCACTGCACTAGATCTTGGCCAGCTGGACAGGGAAATATCCTTTCTTTGTGAGGAGGCAGTCTTATGAAGTTGCATCCGTCTTGGGGAAGAGGTAGAAGAGATGGCAGGGAGAGCAAAAGGAAATGGAACTTTGGTAATGCTCCAGTTATATTTCCCTTATTTGTTGGCCTTAGGCATAAACAGAATAGGCATATGCCTAGGGTGCAAAATAAGAGTGCCACAAAATATCCGTTAGGCTGTTTCTGTTTTTTAAATGAACTGCTAGCCTGGAGAGTCCCCAATCTTGGGCTTCCTCGGGATGTCATCCTGCCAGGGAGCCCAATACCAGGTTCCTAAGGTGGGGTGGGATTTTGTTAAAATGCATCACCGTAAATCTTATCTAAGGTGCTGGTTGAGTTTTCACTAGCAATGCTACCAAGAAATCCATTGGAAAACTTCATTTTAAAAGTTCTGCTTGTAAGAGTAGCAGGAATTTCATACCTACCTTTTCCACCAAGTGGCAGTATGTTTCTGTTTTATTTCTTCCCGTCCCTTTGATCTTCTTAACATGTTCAAACTAGGGAGTAA